GGGGCTCTCCAAGGCCGAGTACCTGCGGCGGTACCTGAGCGGGCCTCCCGCCGCCGCCGAGCCCGCCCAGCCCCGCCGCCGCCGCAAGAAGAAGCCGCCGGGAGGCGCCGGTAGAACCGGGTGAGTTGCGAGGGGGGAAGGGGGGGACGCCGCGTCCCGCCCCGCCCGCCGCCTGTCGCGCTAGGCCCGCCCCTTCCCTCTGCGGGCCTCGGCCCGGGAGCTGCCCGCCGCCCCCGCCGGCCCCCGAGCCCCGTATTTCCCCCGTGGGACTCCCCAGGGTCCCCTCCGCGGCCGGGATGTCCCCCCCAAGCCGGAAACCCCCCGTCCCCTATCGGTCGGGCTCCTTCCTTGCGGGCGGCCTGACGGCAGGGCCCCTCTCCCCGCTCCCAGGATGCGGATCGTGGACGACGATGTGAGCTGGAATAGCATCGCTGCCGTCCAGGAGAAGGAGGAGGAGGAGGACGAAGGGGACATGCCTGTGGTGAGCGGGGGATTCTGTCAAACGGGGTTTCACAAACTAAACCCTGCCCTCTTATGGTCTGTGGCGTGTCTGTCTCTGGGAAGTGATCGCCAAACCCTTTCTGCTGCCTCTTCTTTTCATGGTTTGGGTTGGAAGGGACCTTAAAGCCCCTCCAGTGCCACAGGGACACCTCCCGCCAGAGCAGGTTGCTCCAAGCCCCCTCCAACCTGGCCTTGAACCTCTCCAGGGATGGGGCAGCCACAGCTTCTCTGGGCAACCTGGGCCAGGCTCTCACCACCCTCACACCAAACAAGTTCTTCCCCACATCTCAGCTCCATCTACCATTTTCCAGTTTGAAGCCATTATCTTACCATTAGGTTCCTGCAGATAAAAGTAGCCTTTTCTTTACATATTTGCAGGAGGGCAGCTAAATGACGGTCGCACAGTTATACTTAATATTTATAGTATATATTATGTATTCTGTAACTGTGGTTATATTTAACTATTTGTGTTAGAGGCTGGAATTTTTTTTTTTTTTTTTTTTTTTTCTTTAAGGTGTGTTGTTTACTCTGCTGTTTTATCTCCAGGTGGCAGAATTTATCGATGAGCGTCCGAATGAAGTGAAGCTCATGGAGGAATTCCGGACGAATGCGAAATGGAAACTTTTAGGAGGTGAGACCGGGCCTTCCCACCCTCTCTCCCTGAATATTTAACTGCTCCAGGCAATAACGTTGCAACTTAAAAATAATACTAGCTAAAAAGAGAGATCATGAACTGTGGAAAGCCCTAACGGTGGTGACTTTCTGATTGTTTTTCCTTAGACCAGAATGAAGACTCACAGAGTTCGGATGTTTCAGTACCTGCCCAGGCCACCATGAGGTACGGGGCTGCATCTGGGGATTCCTCTGTCCGTTAACTCTTGTTTTCTGGTATCATCTGGCGTCTTCTGCAGTTTCTCAGTGCTTTTGCTGTGAAATGGGAGAAGTGGCGTGCGCAGGGATTCCTTTTCCACTGTGGAGTAACCTCTGCAGGCAGCGTGCTGTCTCGCTTCCTGTGTGACAGGCGAGCAGCTGTGACAGCTCGCTGTGTCCTCTGGTGAGGACGGTGGTGTTACAACACGGCTGTTTTCCCAAAGCCTCTGTGGGATGTCCCAAGGTCACACAGCGCCCAGGCTCTCTGAGAGAGCACGATGGGCTCTTTCCTTGTAAGATGGTGATTGTACAAGGGCCCAAAATGACTTTTGTAGCCTGAGTCCCTGGAGACTTTAAAAGTCTAGCTTTCTTGTGATGTGAGTTCCCTCAGAGGCTTTCTGGGATCTACTTTAGGAAGCGTGCAGCTCAGTGACACAGAAGTGCAGAATCAAGTGTGAATTTGTGTTCAGAAAGATGTTTTCATCCTTGACTCCTACTGTGAGCTTTACAGGTCCCGCTTGGGTTTTGTTTCCAGTCTGGAACCAGCAACCAAACAGGAATCTGACTCTCCTTTTCACCTTCTCCTCCCCTCCCAGGCGACAGCGCCACGACTCCCCGGAGAGCTCGCCCCCAAGGAGGCTGCGGCACGACTCCCCGGACAAATCACCTCCCAGGAAACAGCGCCATGATTCCCCGGACCTGTCCCCTCCCAGGAGAGAGAGAAACACTTCCCCCAACCTCTTGCCTCCCAGGCGACAGCGCCACGACTCTCCAGACCTTTCTCCCCCAAGAAGGAAGCGTCACGACTCCCCGGACCTGTCACCTCCCAGGCGGCAACGTCATGACTCCCCAGACCTCTCCCCACCAAGAAAAAAGCATCACGACTCCCCAGATCTCTCTCCCCCAAGAAGGAAACGTGATGACTCCCCAGACTTGTCACCTCCCAGGCGACAGCGTCACGACTCTCCAGATCTCTCTCCCCCAAGAAAGAAGCGTCACGACTCCCCGGACCTCTCTCCCCCAAGAAGGAAACGTCACGACTCCCCAGACTTGTCACCTCCCAGGCGACAGCGTCACGACTCTCCAGATCTCTCTCCCCCAAGAAAGAAGCGTCACGACTCCCCAGATCTCTCCCCACCAAGAAGGAAGCGTCACGACTCCCCAGACTTGTCACCTCCCAGGCGACAGCGCCACGACTCTCCAGACCTCTCTCCTCCAAGAAGGAAACGTCATGACTCCCCAGACCTCTCTCCAAAGAGATCCAGTTTAGCGATGGGGAAAAAGGGCAGCAAAACCACCGAGGAGTCCCAGTCAGTGGGAGCCCGGGGAGAGCAATCTCAGCTCAGGCACGGCGTCTCGGACAAGTCCTCGTCGCGGCAGAAGCGTCAGGTGACCCCAGATCTGTCCCCTCCGCGGAAGAAGAGGTACGATTCCGACCCCGACTCGTCACCGCCTCGGAGAAAGAGGACTGGGTCACCGAGTCTGAAAAAGCTGAGCAGAAAAAGTGAGTGCGTTAAGTTTGTTGTGTCCTGTTCTTTGCTGGCTGCCCACTCTGCTATCCTGGTTTTCTCATCAGCTGGGTTAGAATTAATTAACCTGAGAGTTAGCTGGCTAGGGTTTAAACGTGTCCGAAGGGAAAACAGAGTTTAAAGGCAGTCTCCAGCAGTGCGTGTTTAGGAGGAAGAGGAGTCACAGACTCTTGTCACCTGCTTGGGTGTTCCTTACAGGTCGTCACCTCTTAAGATCTTGATTTTTCTAGGAGTTCACCTCATGCAGCACCATGTTTAGTCCTTTTGTGGGACAAATTCTAAATCTGTGATTTTCAGTTAGTGTATGTCTTTATTGCAGGTGTTTCTCCGCCCACAAAGAAGCCCCAGAGGGGCCTGAGACAGGACTCTGACTCTCCGTCCCCGCGGCGGGGCACCCGGGACGCCTCCGACACGACTCCCGACCTCTCGCCTCATCGCCACCGTGACGCCAAGGGGTCTCCCAAGAAGGTAAAGGATTCCTCTTTCCATTTGAGCTGTAGAATTATTTCTTGTTGATAGAAAACTCTGAAAGTCCAACAACTTACAAGTTGTGGAGTAGAAATTTCATAAACTTCATGTACGCAGCCGTGCCAGACCCTCTGTTTGCACTAAGAGGAGGCACAAGATGGGCTTGAGACAGACACTCTGCCTCGGTCTGCTGTTTTCTGGGGAGGTTGTTCTCAAGAATACCACCAAGGTGGCTTTGTAATGTGGCTGTCCCTGCTGACATGTCTCTCCTGGCTTCATGCCGTCCCTCATTACACCTCTGGATTGCCAGAGAGCTCTCAGCTGGCAGGAAATAGCATTTTTTGTTCGATTCACAGGGAAATGTGATGTTATCTGGGGTCAAAGCCGGCTTGGTGTCAGCTGATGTGCTGCGGAGGGAACAGCAGGAGCTCAGGAGGCACGAGAGGAACAACAAGCACTTGGAAGGTGGGGCTGCGGCCGTCGGGCTCTCACAGGCTGTAAAACCACGGCAAGAGCAGCAGCTTTCTCTTTCCCTGCTTTCTGCTGGCTCTTGGTGCTGTTGAGGGCTGATGGAGAGCACCCCTGTTCCTTGGGCAGGGTCACCGAGCCTTGGAAAGAAAAGCTTTATAAATGGGGTGAAAGCGATGCCGGTGAGATCACGGGGAGGGTGAGAGAGTTTTTCCCTGTCTGCCTGGGTGGCTGAGAGCAAGAGCTGTGATCCTGCCTGCAGGTGGATGATAAGCTCTTTCAGAGCTTTGAACGAGTGAAAGGAAGCGAAACGTTGGAATGAGTCACAGTTAGTCACTGAATTGTCTGGAGATGGCGAAATGTTCCAAAAGGGGTGACTTGGGGCATCTCTCTCCCCCCGCAGAGGAATCCCGACACTCCGAGACCGTCTTCCGAGACAAGTCGGGCCGCAGGAGGGACCTGGCGCAGGAGCGGCTGGAGCAGAGGCAGAAAGATGAGGCCAAGTCCGAGAGAGAGGAGCAATACGCCAAGTGGGGAAAAGGGTGAGGTTCCCCGGAGCTCCTGGGCCCTGCGTTACCCCTTGGGACTCTCCACTCCCTGCTTTTTAGCCCCTTTTCGGTGCTGCTTCCAGTGGTGGCGTCGGTGACGTGTCCCTTTGTGGAGTTTGAGCCTGGGGCGGGGGGAGTGTATCAGGAACCTGCCTGATCAGGCCCTGATCAGGGCCTGTGTCAGGAACAGCGTGGCGAGTAGGGCCCGAGAGGTGATTGTCCCCCTGTACTGGGCACTGGTGAGGCCTCACCTTGAGTGCTGTGTCCAGTTTTGGGCCCCCTACCATAAAAAAGACATTGAGGTGCTGGAGCGGGTCCAGAGAAGAGCAACAAAGCTGGTGAGGGGTCTGGAGAATAAGTCTTGTGAGGAGAGGCTGAGGGAGCTGGGGTTATTCAGCCTGGAGAAGAGGAGGCTGAGGGGAGACCTTATTGCTCTCTCCAACTCCCTGAAAGGAGGGTGTAGAGAGGTGGGGGTCGGTCTCTTCTCTCAAGTCACAGGCGACAGAACAAGAGGAAATGGCCTCAAGTTGTGCCAGGGGAGGTTCAGGCTGGATATTAGGAAAAATTTTTTCACTGAAAGGGGTATCAGGCATTGGAATGGGCTGCCCAGGGAGGTGGTTGAGGCCCCATCCCTGGAGGGGTTCAAAAGACGGGTTGATGTAGTGCTGGGAGGTCTGGTTTAGTGATGGTGATGCTCCTTGTTTGTTGTGTGGGTGTCTATTTTTGTCAGTTAGGTTGACGGTTGGACAAGATGATCTTTAAGGTCCCTTCCAACCTAGAAGATTCTGTGATTGAGTGCATGTTCCATGTGTCTTGGAGACCCCCTCAATGGTCCCCTCGGTGGCTGGGCGTGCGTTGGGAGCGCGGCGCACACAGGGGACATTCAGGACTGTGCTCACTCCTGCACACAGAGCTGCTCCCAGTCAAGGCTGGTGGGGCTTGGGGTGAAGCTCCCTGTGTTCCCTTTCAGGCTGGCGCAGGGGCGGCAGCAGGAGCAGAACGTGGAGGATGCCATCAAGGAGATGCAGAAGCCACTGGCCCGTTACATTGATGATGAGGATCTGGACCGGATGCTGAGAGAGCAAGAGAGAGACGGGGACCCCATGGCTGACTTCATCAAGAAAAGGAAGGCCAAGGAGAACAAAGAAAAGAAAGGTTTGGGTGTTGAGTTACGCTGGGGAGTGGTTTAATGCCCTGATGGTGTAGAAATGGGGCTGGTGTTGAGTAGATAGCCTAATTCTGAAGGATTCTCTGGGGTTGGTGTAGTAGTGGTATTATTGGCTCGTTACCAGTAGCTGCTACTGTTATTTGTTAGTTTGGAGAGCAGTATCCAGTGACTTAAACATCAACCCATTCTAGTTCAATGAAGTGCATCTTTGGGAGTTTCCTCCTCTGTGAGCTGTAGCTGGCTGTGAAGTTACTATCACTGTTCCTATATATATAAAAAAAAAAAATATATATATATCTATATTTATATCTGCCCCATGGGTTGGTGCTGATGTGACCATCAGCTGTATCATTTTTTCTGTTCCTAGAAAAACCTCGGTACAACGGACCAGCCCCTCCCCTCAACAGATTCAATATATGGCCCGGGCATCGCTGGGACGGCGTGGACAGGTACGGCTTGGAAGAATAATCAAAATAAGCAGGTTTTTGCTTCAGAGAGCTCACAAAGGTTCCCAGTTATCCCCCGAATGAGATTATCAGCAAGAGTGAGGTTGAACATGTCAGGTTGCACTTGGGTGACTGTGGGTGATGAGCTTGTTGGGGCCAGAAGGGAGCGAGGCTGGTGCTGTCACCAAGGGCATCAACAGCTTCGGAGGTGCCGACTGTTGGTTGCCACAGATTGAGGTGGGACCTGAGCCAGAGTAACAGGAGGGGAAAACTTGCAGTGTCTCTAGAAAGGTTTGGTTGCTTCACAAAAGCTTCCGTGCCGCCCCACACTCAACACCTCACCATAAACCAATAACCTTGGGCACTAGAGCATGCCCTGAAGAGCCATGTCTATATGTTTCTTAAATCCCTCCAGGGATGGTGACTCCACCACCTCCCTGGGCAGGCTGTTCCAGTGCCTGACCACTCTCTCAGTAAAGTAGTTCTTTCTAATATCTAATCTAAATCTCCCCTGCTGCAACTTCAGACCATTTCCTCTGGTCTTGTCATTTGTCCTTTGGGAGAAGAGGCCAACACCTACCTCTCTACACCCTCCTTTCAGGTAGTTGTAGAGGGCAATGAGGTCTCCCCTCAGCCTCCTCTTCTCCAAACTAAACATGCCCAGTTCCCTCAGCCTCTCCTCATAGGACTTCTTCTCCAGACCCCTCCCCAGCTTGGTGGCTCTCCTCTGGACACGCTCCAGCCCACGGCCTCCTCGGTCTTCCTTTGCAGGTCCAACGGGTTCGAGCAGCAGCGCTTCGCCAGGCTGGCCAACAAGAAGGCGGTGCAGGAGCTGGCCTACAAGTGGAGTGTGGAGGACATGTAGGCCTAGGGGGAGGACCAGGCCCAGCAGTGCTTCCGGAGCGGCGCTGCAGGGCTTCACCCACCGCCGGAGCCGCGAGGAACGGCTCGCTCTGCCTGGACCAACCCTCTCCTCAGCGCCCGGCGTCCCAGGGGACCGTCTTCCGAGAGGCAAGGCTGAATTTGGAGGAGAGCTGCCCTCAGAGGGTGTCCCTGGCAGCCAGAGGGGCCCAGCGTTGCGGGGGCTGCTGCCTGTGGGAGCCCCTGGGCTCTGCCGCTGCCCCAGAAGGTGCTGCAGGCACCGCCTTCTGGCCCCTTTCCTCCTCTTCTGACAAAATCACACAAACTGTGTGCTTAGTTGTTTTATGCCAAATGCTTTGTCCTCCGAGGGCGGCTCGCAAGTCTTCAGGTGCCCTCAATCTCAGGGTTTGTTTTTTTCATGGTAGAAGCGTGCTGGGTGGCTGGAGAGTCGGCCTCGGCCGCTTAGGCTGGCCTAGGGCTCAGCTACAGTCTCCTTGGTTTAAAGTTCTTCCAGAGAGCAGCTACCCCCTAAAACTGAGTCCCGTGGGCTGGTGTCACGTCCTCCCCGTGTCCTTCCCAGTGCCCCCAAAGGGCTTCTGTGGAGTTTGGGTTCGTGGAGCCAGTGAAGCTCAGCTCCTCCTCAGCAAAGCTCCTTGCTCTGCCTCTGTCCTGCCGGGGCCTCAGGGCTGGATGTGACAGCCAAAGCTCCAGAACCCCCCTCCGCTCCTTGAGGGTCTATTTCTGGTGGAAATAAACACGGGGAAGGTGTTTGAATTCCTTCCCCTGGTCCCCCCGGAGTTCCCCGTGGCCAGTGATGCTGAGAGCGTGTCCCTCCTGCCGCTGCCAGGGGGGCTGGTCCCATGCCCAGCAAAACCCCTCTCCTGGAGCAGATTTGTCAGGCTCAGAGCTGGAGGGTGGGCAGAGGCTTCCCTTAATCCCTGCTCGAGGAAGGCACTTGTAGAAATAAGGACAGTCGTTCTGGCTGAAGTGCAGCCCGTGGTTGCTGTGGAGATGCCCTCCCTTAGTGGTCAGGGGCCAGTCCTCGGGCCCATGGGGAATCTGGAGCCCGAGGAGAGCTGTGGGCAGGAGTGGAAGGACAGAGTCTCCTCGGGGAGGGGGAGAGCCTTGGGACTCCCTTCCCTGGGGTATGTTTCTGGATCCATCTGTACACTTGTAAATAACAGTTTTCTTTTTTTTACTTGACTTTTGCGTGCTGGTGGTTCTTCCATGGCAGGGACAGGGAGGGTTTAGGCAGACAAAGCCATTTGAACGGGACCTTAGGACCTGGAGGCAGCGTGAGCTTTGAAGGCTGGAGTTTGACGGTTTTTAGGTGGAGGTTCCCATCTTTTGTTACTGCCGGAGGGACCAGTGTTAATTACAAAGCTGAATTGATGCAACGCAGCTATTACTGGTGTGTTACTGGATATACAGGCATGTTTTACCAAGACAATAAAATAAGAGGATGGGGGAGCCTCAGAGGGATCAACACCAGGAGCTTGGGCACCTTGGTGGCACCAGGGTCCCTGTCCCCAACCAGCCCTTTGGGTGCCACCACCCTGGGTCGGTGTCACCGGGGAGGGGACGGGTCCCTCTGCGTGTGTCTCAGGAAGGGCAAGGCAACTTTGATTAGCTTTAACCACCCCCACCCCAAAAAAATGAATATTAAAATCTTAATTTAATTGAAAACACTGTCATTCACAGTCACGGCAAACAGCAAGCAGAGTAATTATTATGCAAATGAGGCAGATAGAAAAATGATTAATAATTGCGTAAATTAAAAAATTATTGTAAACATCCTGGGAGCAGCGATAAGTGCGGGAGGAGTGCGGGCGCGGGGGGCGGCGCTGCTCCCCCACCTCCTTCCTTTTGCTCATTAGTGGGATTTTAATTGGCAAACGAGGTGCAGGAGCTGGGTGGTGTCTGGGGGGGAGGCTGGTGCCCGGCTTCAGACAGTGCCACCCGGGTGCTGCCAGCCTTGAGCTTGAACTTGAGGCCCAGCTCCCGGCCTCAGACTCTGTTATTGGGTGGAAAAGCTGGTTTTTGGAGCTTCTTCCATCCTTTTTGGAAGGACTGTGGTGCTGGGGATGCCATCAGCTCCCCCCACTGTCCCTCTGTGTCCCCCCCCCAGTGTGGGCAGGACCCGGTGTCACCCCCAACCACCCCCCAAACGGGCGCTCGCTAATGACCAGCAGAACTCGCTCCCTCGAACAATTAATGAGCTTATTTGTCTGGCGTTTGGCTGCTAATTGCACAACATTATTCCCCCCCCCCCGCCCCGTTCGACTGTTTTACTTTTATACTTTTGACAGTGAGCACGATAATAATAATAATAATAATAGGCTTACACTGGCTAATAGGCTTACGTGGTACATTATTCATGTCAAGGACAAGCAATTAAGCCTGGCCTCACACATAATAATTAGATTTTTGTTGATGAGCTCACGGTTAATGTGTTTAGTTAAGATTAAGAACTTAATTCCTGGTGTGTGACACCCCCTGCCCGGGGGTGGGGGGCTGTGTCCGTGGGGCAGGGCTGGCCGGAGGGGCCACCAGCGGAGGTGGGTGGCAAAGGGCCACCAGATTTGGCCGGTGTCTCACCCGTCCCCTGTCCAGCTTGGTGAGCACGGCCGTGGCTTCTCCCCAGCACCTGGTTTTGGGTTGGTTTGGGGCTTTTTAACGGCCGCAGCAGAGTGGGTTCTGGCCGGTGTGTCCCCGCTGGGATCCCCTGTTATTTTTTTAATAAAAACTTGGGATTTTTCAGTTTAATTTTTCTCTGACCAGCAGCGGCTCTGGGTCGTGGATGCTCAGGGGAGCCTGGGGGCTGCAGAACCCCTCCCAGGCCCCGAGGGGGGAGCACCCAGGGGCGGTTTTGGGGGAGAAAAGCTTCCCCTGGTAGCAGGAGCGGGAAGGAACATGCCCGAGACTGCCAGGTTAGTGATTGTATATGCATATGTGCACTTTCCCTAATTATTCCATAATTAGGGACACGCAGAGATAAAAATTGCTAATAATGTTTACTCTAGACTCTCTTTTTTTTTTTTTTTTAAATATCCTCTCTCTCTTGCTCGTTCACCGAGTCTTGGTGGAAATAACTTTGCAGATCCCACTTAATGAATATTTGTAAATGCAAGAACATTCGGCGCCGGAATATCCAGAGGGCATCCTCTCGCTGCCTTCTCTTTTTTTATTTTTTTTTATTTTTTTTTCCACCACATATTTAATATTTATGGTTCTGCAGCCTCGTGAATAAAGAGCCACCCATGAACCCCCAGGAGCTCGGGGCCGGGGATATTTATGGCGCTTCCTCTTTTCCTTTTCAATTACAAAGACACCTCACATAATTAAGTGCTAATAACCCTGTTAATCTGAAATTGATACTCTTTTTCTCCTGGCCATCTCTTAATAGAATTAAAAACAGATTAATAATCAAGGGTAGGAGAGGTGGCATGCAATTAGGGGAGCGGGGGCCGCGCTCTGCCCCGTGGCCGTGTCCCCGGGGGGGACGGGGGCACAGGGGGGGCGATGCCAGGGTCGGGGGCTCGGGGGGGGAGACACCTTTTTTCCCCCCTCCCTGCTCTTCACACGGCTTAAATTTTTAAGACAAACAGCCGTGTAACACCATCTCCTAATGAAACTGTTTTATGTTAATTAATTATGCATCAAGGCTCATTTTCATGCGCGGGCCGGCCCCGCTCCCCCCTCCGCCGAGCCTTTGATCTGTCAAAGGCTAAACGGGAGATAAATAATCAAATTAAAAAGCAGCCTGGATGGAAATAAACACGTTTTAGGCACGTTGTCTGGCGGCTGGAGCGAGGCGCTGAGTCGCCGGGCGCCGGAGGTTTCCCCGTGCCTCAGTTTCCCTGCGCTGCCCCAAACCCCTTTGTCACCCCCCCTGGGGACAGCACCATGTCCCCGGGCACGGAGAGGGGTCTGGGGGCAGCCCAGCCCCCCTGCCTCCCTGCTGCTCCTCCTCTGCGGGGAAGGAGGCCGTGGAGGACTTGATCTGCACAAGAGTGATGAAAATTTCCAAGTTTGCAGCACTTTTTCTCTTCCAGGTGCTGAGACACCCCAGGGGGGGCTCTGGGCCACAGCCCCTCCATGCCCAGCCTCGTGGACACGGTTTGGGGACGATTCACCGCAGTCTCTCCCGGTTTGTCACACCTAAACGGGGACAGATGGGCATCCATATTCATTTTGGAGGAACTTCAGAAGTTCTCTCTCCGTTGGCCGAGCCAGCTGATGCCACAGCCCGCTGGCCTGGGCTCCCCCTCAAGTGAGGACGGCGACGAGGACTTGTCCTCCAGAGTCCTCCTGGTCCCCTCGGTGGCAGGGCTGGGGCTTTGTGGCCTCCTGGTCCCCTTGGTGATGGGGCTGAAGGAGCCAGGGTGACCTTCCAGTATCGCCTGCAGGGAGCCAGAGCCCCTCCAGCTCCTGCCAGCGTCCACCTTACCCCCGTCCCTGCTTTCTGTGAGCTTCAGGACCCCCACCTTGGCTCCTGGGCTGTAATCTCAGGGGGGCACAAAGCCCACAGCCACATCCTTGGTGGCCTCAGTGCTCAGAGGGTGCTGGCACCAAGGGAAGCTGGTGGCAGGACCCTCTCACCACTTCCCCCGCCACTATAAATCAGGTGTTGCTCTAACGGGGGGTGGGCACAGGGGCCCCCAGGTCCTTGAGGGGACCCACTTCTTCTGGGGATGTCAGCTGGGGGCTGCGGAGAGCCCTGGGGAGGGGTCCTGGTGGTTCCCCCCGACTTCAGGGAGGGACTTGGAGTCTCTTGGCTGCTGCTCACCCCCAGCTGTGCTCCTCATGCCGTGGAGATGCCGGGGAGCGTTGTGCCTGCAGTTACCCAGGCAGCAGGTCAGCAGGGAGCTGCTGTTCGTGCCAGCTGCTCTTTGGGGTGTTGTGATGATGATGATGATGATGTGGTTTCCCTCCAGGTGCGCCCCAGCGCGCTGCAGCCCCCGCTCCCCCATCAGCAGAGCTGGCCAGCGCCGCGCCGGGACGTTGGCCAGACCCAGCCACCCTCAGGTGCCACCCCGTGAGGTCCCCAGCCCGGGCAGAGGACATGGGGACACCATGTGCCCCTCCAGTGCTGCAGGTGAGGTGGAGGAGGAGGAGGGAGCCAGCCTGGAGGAGGAGGAGAGCCTGCAGCGCCCCGAGTCCTGCCTCTTGCTGGGACGGTGGCGTTAGCGTGGGCTGACGTGCCAGGGTGACTTTGCAAAGCCAGTCTGCTGTGGTTTGAGAAAACCCACAGCAATTTATCGTCCTTCAGGTAATTATTCTCTCACCTGATGCCCTTTGCCCACCCGGGAAGGGGAATTAGGGAAAAGCAAGGAAAACTCGAGGGTTGAAATATAGATTTAATAGGATAAGACTAAATAATTAACAATAATAGTAAAGAACCAGCATTAATCCCAATACTAAGATAAAATATCCAAGAATTATCCCCAACCCATCCCATCCCAGGAAGCCGTGCACCCCCAGCAGGGACAGCCAATGTGGGACCCTGCGAGCGCTGCAGCTTCCGAAGGGAAGGGCTCAGGGATCCAGCACCAGGGCAGGGAGTTCTGTGGATCACAGTCATCAAGGCAGAGAGAGAGAGCTCCTCAGCAAACTTCCTAATTTACAGTGAGTGTGATGTCCATGGTATGAAATAACCCTGGGGGCAGCTTGGGTCAAATACCCGGGTCTTGGTGCTTCTCCTCCCCACACCTGGCGAGAAAACACCGAGACCTTGAATCCCACATCCCAGGGCTGGCTGTAAAGCAAATATTGTCACAAATTCAGTCTTCTGAAAGTGCAGATTTCCCCAGCCTTAAAGAGAAGGTAGTCCTGTGTCGCTCAACCCAGGATCTGGCCCCCGTGGGACCAGCCAGGGCTCCTGGAGAGGCCAGAACCCCCGCCAAAGCCAGCTGGCCCCTGGGCAACCTGATTTTCGGTGCCACCGTCCCAGCCCTGCTGCCGGGAGGGGAAGCCAAGCGTGGAGCAATCAAAGGGAGCTCGCAGAGCGTGTCGTCCCCTCCAGTCTCGCCCCGGGCCCTGCCTTTGGGCTTCTGACGGCTTCACTCCAGCGGTGTCGCTTCTCATTAATCCCCACATCAAAGCCCGAGCTGCCAAACATCCCGGGGAGAGCGCGGCGGCTTCCGAAGCGGCGGCGCAGGCAGGGGAGGCGGGGGGACAAGCTGTGCGGGGAGGCTGGGAGCT